AAAAGCCAGGTAAATTAAGGCAGTAACTGACAGTCTGTATCAGATGCATCAGTTTAGCGGTTATCAGAAGTAAAATCTTGTCATGTCCAACCTGGAGTCTTCAAAAATAACTCCTTACTGAAGTGCTTCAATGTTGCAGTAAAAAGCGTGCATTGCCTGTTATCTCCCCCCTGCAGCGACTGACACTTCTGCATTATATAGGACATTTGCTTCAAATACGAAGACTAACCATTTCAGCTTGTCTTTCTAGCCATAAACTCACTCCCAGTGTGACTGACATACAATAAATTCCCTCGCACAACTAACTATCTTGCAAGAGCTCATAATTCTTAGTGATTGAGACACACTGGCTGCCACTCCATCCAGCGCCAGTTTCTGAGGATGGTATTATGCCTCCACCTTTGTGGCACAAGTGTGGAACTTAAGTAGATCAAGCATCTTTCAATCCTGTTTCAGCTGCTCTAGCTTTTAAGTTTTTGGAGCAAAACAATCTAGTAAATTGTCCTCAGCTACAATTGAAGTAAATTATAGGTATGAACAGGACATAGCAATGATTTTTGCTGTATCTAACATCAAAGAGGAAAATAAAAATACATTGAAAATAGAGCCCAGTGCAACTGCTGTCTTCTGCAGATTTTCATAAAAATGACTCTTTTTTCCTTCAAGACATGTTTGAAGCTGAACAGTTGAACTTCACCCCAGCTGGTATGTTGAGAACTTCAGGGCTCACTCTCATCTCTTCTATGCCAGAACTGAGGGGCACTGGACTTTAAGCTAAAATAAAGATACTGCCCAATAAACCTCTCTTTCACTTCTCTAAGCATGGGGGTGTTGGCAGGACAGAATACAGAGCTCAGCAGAAGAGAAATTTATATTCCCTTCCCTACTCCCACCATGCTTGGAATTTTCTTCACCCTTACCCAGCCCTCTTCTCCCTTTTGCTGCTGTTGCACAGAGGATAAGCACCCAGGTAGTCTCCTCCGTGCACACGCTGCGTAGGATCAGGGCATCATCCAGCAGGCACCAAGGACTGCAGTGCCGATTCCTCCTCAGAGCGCCTACTCTGGCTCTTTCAGAGAAACAATGCGTGTTGCAGCAAGATTTACTTAAGTAATTGAGCACGGATGTGAATAGGCTTCACAATACAAAGCAAAAATTAAAAATCCCTGAATAAATAGGAAAAATTCTTTGTGTGGTTTGTGATTCTCATTCCTAAGATTTTCCATTGGTGCTGGCCAATAGCTAAACTTTTCTAATAGACTGACCTGCTACAGCGCTATTACAAAACCCTCACACGGGTAGGTCTACAGCGAGCTTTCTTTTAACCGTCGCCTTCTCCCGTTGCCAATTCAATAGAAGTAGATAACATTTACAAAAGCCAGCGAGACTACTCTCCAAACACTGGTTCCGGGATACTGGAGTTTGCCATCTTTATTTACAAGTAAAAAATAAACATTCACACCTCGCCTCCACTGTAATTTCTGCAACTTTAATCATGTTAACAGTTAGCAACTGGAGCACAGACCAAAAAAAAAAAAAAAAAGGGACTTACAAGCTCCCGTACGTTAGTTTCATTATTAGTTTTCCGTGGGCAACCAGGAACTGACAGCTCCCTAACCGCCGGGGAGCGGAGGGAAGGCGGAGGTGGGTACGAGGCATAAGCCCCTGCCTCGTTCCCGCAGGCGGGACAGCGGTGCGGGTGAGTGAAATGCCGGGAAGGGAGGGCCGAGGGAAGACGCTGGCTCAGCTGGGCCCAGGACGAAAACTGCCCCTGTTATTTTTACCCGGCTGTTGTTGAAAAGCGGCACC